TGCTTCTGTCATCTTCCTGGGCAGGGCCGGCTTTATGAACTGCGGGGCCCGATTCGAATACCCAGCAGAGGTCAGGGGCTTCGGCGGCACTTCAGCGGCGGGGGGGTCTGCTCTGGGTCTTCTGCGGCACTGAAGGACCCCTGCCGCCGAAATGCCGCTGAAGACCCAGAGCGGACCCCCCCGCCGCCGAAATGCTGCGGAAGACCCGGAGCGAACCACCACTGGGTGAGTAAAAAGATGAAAAAGGCGCCTAAGGCACAGAGCCCTCTTAGGAGCGGGCACGGGGCCCGATTCCGGGGAATCGGGGGAATCGGCCTAAAGCCGGCCCTGTTCCTGGGAAGAAGTAATGCCTTCCCCAGAAAAAGTGATCCCTTCCATGTGATTCTCTTACACTGAGAAGATAAGTCACGAGTTTCAATTTTGCAAGTAAACGTGCTCATCCGATCATGAAGAAGAGCTCTGTGTGGCTCGGAAGCTTGTTTCTCTCACCAACAGAAGTTGGCCCAATAAAAGATATTACCTCACCCACCTTTGTCTCTCAGTCTCATATAAAGTGTAAACTCTTCACTTGGAATGGTCTGCCCTCCTCTGGAATCCTGTGTCACTACAAGAAGCACTGAGAGCAATAGCTCCAATATTTTAGCTCTTCAAAATCATATGTCAGAGTGACGGAGAGAGATCCACTATGAGACCACTCTCTCGGGATCCTGAATGACAATCCTGAGAAGAAAGCTTGGTTCAACTGGTGTGATGTCCTCCGAATCCTGGCACTTGTTATAGCCCTTGTTCCATTTCCTTGTAGTGGGATGGAACAAGGAAGTTTTTAACTGCTCCTCCCCCAACCCTGCTCAGGTTTCGACAAGAGAAAAATTGTGGGTCTTTTTTTGAAATAGTGAGGTCTGATTACAAGCTAGTTATGAACAGATCATTGCTGGATGGTGAGAGGTAACTGCCAGTCATATTTCATACTGTTTCATTCCTTTGTCTGCATAATGTAATCCTACTGGTTAAAGTGATAGTAAAACATAGAGATCTGGGTCAATGACCTGCATGGCTCAAGATGTATGTGAGAACAGATCAATAATTTTAGATTGGGATTTTTCAGGACAAAAAGTGCTAAGTGCCTTAACAAACTGTACACTTGGATCACTGCATTCACAGCTGAAATGAAGTGCCTAGAGTGGAATGCAGCTGCTATTTAATAGCCTGCAGTAACAGTACACAGCGGTTTAGGACTGAAAGCAAAGATATTCTTATCCATGTGAAACTACATGGGTAATTTAGGTTGACAGTAGAATCGCGTGAGTTTATATAACAGGGGTTAGGACACTGTTTTTTTTGTGAAAAGCCAGATCCCAGTTCAGATTTAAAGCTCTGTCCATTCCCACCCTACAGCAAAGTTTGGAAGGGTTTCTGGATCCTAGCTTTTGGTTTGGGGCCATCTCTACTAGATACAATTCCCAGATATAAGATATGCTGTAAAAAGAAACAGACTATGGCATGGGACAGTTTGTTAGTATAAAATGTTTGCAACAGTGAGAAGCTAATGCCAGTTAATTCCCTGGTTATTTACTGTAATCTCATTAATTTAAAAAAAGAACTCATCTGCCTTGGGTGTAACTGTGCAGCCTCATATGGTTTCCCTTAAGATGATATTGAAAAGGAAATAAATAAAGTAACAGTTTTTAGAAAAATTATGTAGTTTTCTTCATCCCCTATATCAGCACTGATTTGTTCACACCGTAAAAAATGATAGCTAGCTAGTGAGTTTACCACCACAAACTGCACAGCTAGTTTAAATATGGTGTGTACCCACCATTTATCTTCCAGAGGAAATGTTCATGGGGTAACTGTGGATGAACATGTTTAGGTGTGGCCCTGTGGCACTCCTTACCTGCAAGCACACCAGCATGGAGTGATTTAAATCAAAATGATTAAAATAACCAATTTTAATCATGATTTAAATCCCCAAGGAGGAAACCATGATTTAAATAATGGATTTCAATATTGTTTTACATTTGTACTTTTTAGTTATTTTCATAAAGGCCAATTCTCATTGATATAAACTGGTATTTTATTTATTTATTTATTTATTTATTTTGCTAACCAGGAGGATACACCATAACTATACACATTTATTTAAGCAATTATATAGCCAAACATGCATTTATTCAGATTCTTAATATTTATTTGTTTTATTATGTTAGAAAAGGGGAATGATGCATTTCTTGTTTATTAGATGATTTATTTTTGACTTGTGATTTGTGTCAAGCTACATTTGCAGGGAAATTGGAATTCAATTAAGATGCACAAAAATAGCATTTCAAAATTGTTTTTCATTTGTTAAATAAAAGCTACCTAACGTGTTGGATACATTAAAAAAAGTTTAGCAAAGCAGGTTTTGCATTTAAAATGAACTGCTTTATTAAACAAAAGAAATATTATCTGTAGATATTATAGACTTGAACTAATTGTTTCTGGTCACTATGTCCTTCATAATTTTAGAGCTAGATGATCTCATCCTCTTACACTCATTTTTCTTCATAGATGGGAAGAGATTATAGATGGGAAGAGGAAAACAAGCTTTCCTGCTTGTTCATTCCCAATTGATTTCTCAACTTTGAATGAACTAGTCATTGAACTGAACTAGTTGAACAAAATGAAATGAAGAAAATATTCTCTCTGCACCTGCAGAAGAGGCAAGGTCTGTCAAAAGCTGGTTTAGCTCTTCAACAAACTCTTCACAACAGATGGACATAAAACAATGCTGTGTTCTTAATGGAACTGAGCAAGGTCATTTTCCAAACTGATAAAGCTCCTTCCTACCATGGGAGTACATTCCCGATTACCTTCTGTCAGGAACAAAAAGCACCAGAGAGCTTTTTGTTCACTGACTGATGATTTGTTTTCTTGTAGTTTGAGAACAGTCAAAAGGGAAGAGACTAATGATTTTGGGTCTGAACCAAAGTTTGGCAACTGAATGAACTAGAGGATCCTGAATGACAATCCTGAGAAGAAAGCTTGGTTCAACTGGTATGATGTCCTCAGAATCCTGGCACTTGTTATAGCCCTTGTTCCATTTCCTTGTAGTGGGATGGAACAAGGAAGTTTTTAACTGCTCCTCCCCCAACCCTGCTCAGGTTTCGACAAGAGAAGGGTAGGAGGACTGCAGGCGCTCTTCTAGATATCTCTGTGTATTTTATAGCTACTCCTGGAGGGAAGTGCCTACACAGAACTCACAGGAGCAGAACTAGAAACTAATGCTTTGAGTGAAGCTGGGAACCACAGGGTGAAGTGTGTGCTCATGCTAAGAATAGAGAAAGCAGGAGATAATCATAGTAAAACTTTGCATAACTAAGCACTTTACAAAAGTGGGTATTGAAACTGAGGCACAGCGGTTAAATGTTTTGCCCAAGGTCAAGCAAGTTAGTGTCAGAGCTTGGAAAAGAACTTAGATAACATTACCTCTCAAGAAAAGGCAAACTTGTCATCAAACAAAAATGTACAGGTAATTCAGGCAGACTTTTGCAATCATCTAAGTCAGGGTCCCATGTACTCCATGATTCTGTGGCCATTTGCTGAAGAATTTACCCCTTGCCACTGAACATGCTCCAGAAGTTGAGCTTTCATTTTTAAAAAAATTGTTTCTAGCCTTTATGGTTGCAAAGAAAACTTTCCAAATGTCTACTGAGTATAAACTGTCTGCCAGAGTCTGCCAACCAGAAAAATAGCTGTCAGGGTGGTGAAAGCTGCCTAATTCATCTCAAAGGGATGTTGACTTTGGAACCTAATAACAACAAAGACACCATTGGTGGGTTTTTTTGCTACTGATCACTTTAACAGCAAAAGCCAACTAATGTGTTTATCCCACAATCCCAAATTGCCTCCCGTGGCTCCACAAGTGCCAAAAATATCATTTGTCAACTACACAGCTGCCAAAGCCTCTAGCTCCACTCTAATAACTTCTGCAATGCGGTTATGCATTTTCAATACAAAACTCTTTAGCATGCTGGACGTTTTAAAATGTAGGGGCAGTATAAAGCCAATGAAATATAAAATTAAATGGCCCAGGCAATATTACATTCATAATAGCCATTTTTATATTTCAGTAAAGAGCTCCAATTTTTTGAACTGATCTGCAGATGGATTTTCTCATCTATTGCACTGGCATGCTATAGAAATCAGGCACCTTGCTGCAGAAATTAGATTCTGCTTGTGGCAGAGTGCACATGCCCTTGATCTAAATAAGTGCCTGCCAGTGGTTGCAATGCAAATGTTTTAGGGCTCGTCTACATGGAGCCGTTCAGGAAAGTTAAGATGAATTAACTAAAAGTGTGGAAGTTAAGGCACATAAATTAAAGTGCATTAAAGCCCCGTGTGGACGCTCTCATTCAGAAATAACATGCCCTTATTTTCTGAAGTTGATTCTTCCTCGAGGAAGCACTCATACGCAAATCAGTGGTAAAATACTGAACTTCAATGGCAATTAAATGAAACACAATGTGCTCTTTTTAGGCTGATGTTTCCTCCACCATAGCCAAGACACACACAGTAAGGAACCGGCAGTGCTATGTAATGAAAGCCTCCCCCCCTCCAGGGTCTGGGAGGCAGGAGCTGTGGAGGGGCCACTTTTGGGGGCCTCACAGGCTTAGAGTGGCCTGGGGGATTAGCGGGTGGCCGGGAGTAGCCCGCTCTGCTTCCCTCGCCCCAGCCCAAGCCGTGTCGCTCGGGGAAGAGGGCTTGGGGGAAGAGTTCCCCCACTCACCGGCAGCGGCGGGAAGTGGAGCAGCCCGGCCCCAGCCTGCTCTACTCTACCAGCTCCCAGCCGCGGTGCTCCGCTTCCCACCACCGGTGAGAGCCGGGGGCGGTCCTTTCCCCAACCCAAGCGATATGACTGGGGCCAGGGCAAGGGAAGCGGATCGGGTTGGGACCACATCTCTCCGCTTCCCGCTGCTGGTGAGTGCAGGGGATGATCCTTTCCCCGCACTCACTGGCGGCGGGAAGCGGAGCGCCATGGCTGGGAGCTGGTGGAGTAGAGCAGGCTGGGGCCGGGTTGCTCTGCTTCCTGCCACTGCTGGTGAGTGGGGGGTCGCTGGGGGAAGAGGTGGAATGGGGGCGGACTGGGGGCGGCGCAGGGGGGAAGGGTAAGAGGCAGGGTGGAGGGAGTTGTCCGGGGCCCCACACCCCCTTAGGGCCGGCGCTGCCCCTTGCAGGGAGGGCCGGCCGAGGGATAGGGCTGGTTGCTGGGGCTGGTGCCGCAGTGTATGCGGCACGCAGCTGCCTAGGGCACCATTAAATTTGGGGCAATTTGGTGCCCCAAATTTCATGGTGCCCTAGGCAGCTGCGTATGCTGCGTATGCCTAAGGACGGCCCTGCAAGTAACCACTGTGAATGACAGAGCCAGGTTAAAGATTTACTTGGTGATGAGATTATCCAACAATTTCCTCCCCCCCACAAAAAGTAAAAACAATTACAAATATTTCTGAGGGAAGAGGGAAAAATAACATAGTTGAATGATCCATTTTAGGGGCTCTGCAGTTCAGCCAATAACTTCTCACCCTCCAGAAGTAGCATTTCCAATATCCTCTGCTTCTGGAAAAGCTGCTTCATTCAGGTACCCTGGAGGGAAGCAACCAGAGTATTGACATCAGCCCATAATGGATTCATCTAGTATATCTTTTCTTCTCTCCTGGGAATATTTCTAGTTTGATGAGGACATTGGCTCCCATGCCCAAGAGAAGTCTTCAATTCTTCATAGAATCCTAAAACTAAGATAAGGCTCTTGGAACTATGGATTCAGCTTTGAGTCTCTTTTATGGATGCTCACTAGCTCTTTATCAGATTTTGGATGCAGTTTGCAAAGTATTAGAAGGAAGCGACTGTCAGAGAGAGCGAGAGCGCTAATGGGAGAGTGTCTGATATGCTGAGGCTTTGTCTTCACTGCATGCTAACCTTATGCTCAATCCTGATTTTCCCCTTTAACACAGCACATATTCATACATCCACATGCTGCTCTCAGTGCCACATGGTGAGGCAGCTGCCATGCTCTGAGCTATAGTGCAGAAGCATGAGGGTTTTTTTTTTAATTGTGTGTCACTCCCATAAGGCTAATGTGGTGAACGTGTTCAGCCAGGAGTACTCACAACCGCGATATCATGGTCCCTTAAGCCCACTAGATTGCCACTCCTTTGCACTACCTTCCCATCTACCTGTGCTTCCTGCGCTGTGACCTCTGACCAAGTGGTTATATCCCTCTGCTTGATGTCACAGTCCCACCCTGCCTGCAGTTTCTCCAGGCTTGGCCATCTCTAGTAATGGAAGCAGCAGAACAATGGCCCCTGATAAGACTATCATTGTGCATCCACCTGACTATAAGAACACCAGAAAGTTGGGGCAACTTTGAGCCAAAGTGAGCACAATCCATGACTTTAACAATACAAAGAATTGTGGGAAGGTATATCTAAAAAGCTGCAGGAAGAACATGGGATCAAGTGGACATGTACAGCATCGCAGGGAGAGGCTAAAAGGGCTGAAGGCGAACTAGTAGAAGTCCAAGGATAAGCATAAGAGAACCAGGGGTGCTCCAACAACCTGTTTCTTATAGGATGAATTGGACTGTGTTCCGAGCACCCATGAGCACAGAGTCCCATTTCAGTGTGGACTCATCTGTGGAGCCGAGACAAGTGTGGATTAAGAACCTGGATGTCTGCAAAGACCCAACCCAGGATGCTCTGGACAACCAGCAGGGAGAGGGAGAAGGAGAAGAAAGGTGGGAGAGGGGAGTGACACTAGTCACAGAGAAGAGCTCGTCCCCAATTCATAGGAACTGTTCCCCTTTATGACCCAGGCAGAGCACGGTGTGGTGGAGGTTTCCCAAACTGAAGAAGCAGGGGAGGAGAGCAACTCAGGCTGGTAAGATGGAGGCTGCTATCATTGTTGTTATTATGAAGGATATTACAAAATATTTGGTCGGGCTCTTGCCCTATAGCCCTAGCTGCTGGTTCAGCTCAGGGTGGAGGCAGCACCATTACAGCCCTCCCTGCTATCCCCCATCTCCCAAGTGATCAGTTCAAAATGGCGGACAAGGGGAGGGGCAAAAAATTAAAGCGGCACTTTACAGCAGCTTTAATTAAAAATCATTAATGAGAAAGGTAACTATAACCCATATTTCAGCCAAAATATAAATGACCATGAAATTATGCTTGAAGGCACTCATTACCATTGGAAGCCACCAGCATGTTAAGACACCCTGCCACTAGCATAGTTTCAAGTGTAGACCTATCCACACATGCGTGAGCTATCCCAAGTTAAAATCACAGTGAAGACAAGGCACTTTTATCGTGAGATAAAGTCACCTAGGTCAACTCCAGCCTGACTGCTAATAGGGTAAGCTAGCTAATGTTATGCACAGAGACAGGCCTGAGCCAAAACACCGGTTCCTAACCCCCTTCCCTTCAAAGTTTGATTTGGATGGGTTAAAATCTGGATAATAACTTTTCACTCGACACCTATCTCTATGACAGGATGAACCAACCCCCTCCCCCAACCCCCAGATCCAACCCCCCGAAACACTGGACTATTTGAAATCCAGATCTGAATTTTGCAACTTGGGTTCTCTTGTGGCACTTCTAAGGCAGCTAGTCAGAGAGCTATCTGACAGGCAGCTTGAGTGACTCCCCTCCTCCCCACAACCCCTGCAGTCAAAAACAATTGCCACCAGGAAAAATATAAGTTTTACTGATGTTTTTTTCCTAAGCTTTACAAAAATAACAGTTCAGTGTTTTAATGGAAAAAGTTTTTGCATTGGAAAATGATGCAATGGAAGGACCAAGAAGATGTATGTGAGAAGTTTCCATTTGTTTTGCTAGAGATGAGAGAAGCAATATGTGTTTTGTAGGGTAGACGGTACCTCCCGTTCTAATGTGCTTCCCCCCTGCCCCTTCTGTGACTGCTTTGGAAGAAGAAGTTAGAGCATAACTACCGCTGTAATCTTAGTAATGCAATGACAATAGATAAATATCATGTATGCAATATACCTTCTTTCCTCAATATAGAATAGCCTCCTTCAACTCACTAATTACTGTAGAGAAACTTGGGACACACACACCTCATTCTCTTCCAAGGAATATATTATTTACACCCAAATGGAAAGGGTGGTTGTTCTGTGGTGAGGGTAATTCACAGCATGTTGACAGCGCAATGTGCCTTTTGATCACTAGTTTAAACAAAGAAAAGTCTGGAAGTGGGAATACTGATATTTCGCACTGCAGTGGAGAATGTCTATGGTTAACACAGTGTTACCAGACACTTACACAAAGTTTTCAACTCACAGATGTAACAGATTTATGCAGGGTGCAGGCATTTTTGCAGAAGAGAGAGAAGATGCAAAGTTCTTGACTGCTTTGACTCTCTCTATCACCTTTCATCTAAGGATGGACAAGTGTTTTACGAACATTCATTAATGAAGCTTCAGAACACCCCTATAAGTAAGCATTATCAGTCCCATTTTAGAGTAATAGAGACACAGGCAGGTTTCCCAAGGTTAGACAGCGCTTCAGTGCCAGACCCAGGAGTAGAACACAGGAGTGACACCTCCCTCTCCCGCACAACCCCGATCTAACAACTGGCCAGCTCAAAAAAATGGGGCAAATTCATCCCTTGTGTAACTCCAGTGACTTCAGTGGAGTTGTCCAAGGGACTAAGTTCTGTCAGCCAAAAATATCACTATCAAGCTTTTTAAATAAAGACCAGATTTGTATCTATTCGGAAGAAAAGCCATTTAAACCTGAAATAAAACTAACTAAAAGATGGAATTGCTGGAACTAGCTTCAAATTAGAGGAGGGTGAAAAACAGTTTTCCAATCCTATGTAAATTTTTGTGATATCAAAAAAATGTCCTGTCCTAATTCGGGATGAAAAGTCAATCTCAAAAATACTCACACACTGAAAATCTGGGGGGAAATTAGTAGAGGCCAAATGAAACATTTCATTTCAATAATTTCAAAATGTGTACTTGTAATTTCATTTTTTAAAAATAAACTATTTTAGCTTAAATTCAAAACAAAGTTATTTTGAACCAGAAAAATGGATTTTTTTTCATTTTGAAAACTTAGAAACAAAACACTTTGAAACTTTTATGAGTTGAAATATTTGTTGAAACTGATCATTTCCCATGAAAAGTTTTGATTTTGACAAATTGGCATTTTCTGATGGAAAAACACTTTGCCAAATTCCCAACTGGTTCTATTTGAAATGTGGTTTTACTGTGTTAACATCCACATGGAATGAAGAGCTCATAGAAAATATTGCTGTCAAGTTCTGTCATAATTAGGGAATGAATGTAGTTTGCTGGACCCATACCAAATAATTAGGCCAGACTGGAAACAGAATAAGAAAGAAACTGAAATGGTCTCTTTTAATTGATTATTCCTAATCTGTTACAAGAAAAGCTTTCAGTCATAAAAAGCTCAAAAAGAGTAAGTGCTCCATCTTTAGATGACTCTTAAAACTTAAAAGAACAGTTGTATAACAGTATGAAAAGGCTAAGGAATCCGAAGGCAGGATATGTCAACTCTTCCATGAGAGACAAGGTAGGTAAGATAATATCTTTTATTGCACCAACTGAAGAAGAGCCCTGGGTAAGCTCAAAAGCTCGTCTCTCCAAAAAATTCAGTCCAATAAAACGTATTATTTCATTCACCTTGTCTCTCTAATATTCTGGAGCCAGCCCAGCTACAACAAGACTGCATACAACTCTTCCATGTGTCACCTTCAGCAGACGAGCTCCCTCTCCACCATTAAGAACTTGAGAAAGAAACTTGTATTATCTTTTCAAAATATCTAGGAAATTGAAGTCTAATTCACCCAGAATACTATTCCTCTAAGAACGGCGAGTCTGAAAACTCATCTCACAGGAAGTTACACAGGGTTTTCATTCAAAGCGTCTATTTCTGAAGGAGGCTAAATGCGCAAAATGATGGTTGTGCACTGTGAAGAAGTTGGATTATACTTTGCACTGAAGTGATCCAAGCAAGCCCACTGTTAATGAAACGCAATGGCTGAAAAGAAAATGTCAATGCTACTTAGTGATGGGGATGATTCAACCTTTACAGTAAGAGTGAGTGGTCCAGGAATAGTCTATGCTAGCTCTTCATCTTTTGGGAGACCAATGCCAGTTCATTATACTAAGAAAGCCAGTGCCCACCATTCCCTATTTAATTGTGTATGCTTTGTCCCACATCCTCCAACCCTCAATCTTGTGATCAAACATCACTGAATGGAGGTGGGCAGCAACTGAGTACCACTAAACATCATTAGGGGCCTGACTCATGAGGAGTAGTACTCAGTCATGAGGCCGGGAGTAAGGATGGTAGTGTGGGGTGCCCCAAACCCTGAAATATCAGTCCCCAAACCCTAAAATATTAGTGTAAACATGCATACACTGTACTTGTAGCTCATGGAGTTAATGAGACTTCCTCTATTGTTCTTCATTGCTAGTTTGTGTTTTTTATTGGGCAGTTATAGATTTGGCCCAAAATATTGGGGGATCCCTTCCAGGGTCCTGTCCTGTTAGGTGCTTAGTGTCCTCAAGCACTATTGACTTTAATGGGAGTTGAGTGCATTCAATAGCTTAGAGAACTGGGTCCCTAAGTGAGAGGCATCTGATGCGGGAATGACTGAAACACTGGTTCTGTCTCAGATCTGTAAACACTGACTGTTTCTGAGTGATTTAATGGTTGTCTTTTACCAGTTGCACCAAATGCATTAAAGAGACAGACCAAAACACAGTGGAAAAAATGAGCTAATAACAATTCATCACTGCATCCCTAGCATTGAAATGGCAAGGATATTAGGTTAAAATTCAAGCATACAAGTTTCTGGCTGAACAATATGTTCCCAATGAACGCTGCTATTCATGAGTTATAGTTGCATAGCAGCAATATACAGTGAGGATCCAGCATAATACAGATATATATTTCTTTAAAATTAGAGAGATTTGGTACGGTGCCTATAGGAGCTATAACCCAGGGAGTGGGGAACAAAGATGTTTTATGACCTCAGTCTGCCTTGGGCTGTTGCACAGAATCTTCATAACACTCAGCACTATGAACACTCTGTGGTTCTGTCTCTGCCATGCTCCCTACAGTGGGGTTGTGAGAGGACAGCACAGGACTGCAAATAGCAACTCTACATTTCCCCTGCATAGAGGAGAATTCCTATATTCACCGCCAGAGCAGGATAGAGGTACAAGGGCCAGAATGGCCCCTTTAATTTTTATTCAAGCAACTCACAGATTAGTAATGTGGGAATGGGTTTGATCAATGTTCTTTAGAGGTTTGCATGCATGGAAAGTAAAATAATAAAATGAGATCTCCTTGGTATATTTTGAGAATAGTGTATGCACAATATGGTAGTATAAATGCTTCTTCCTCATCTGTTCAAATGTCCCCTCCTCCCTTTCAGTAATAAACCAATCCTGATTAAACTTTCTTTTCTGAGGAGTTTTAGATGAGTTCCATCTTTTTGTAATGAATGCATTATTATTGTTTGCAGTTTTGTTGTAGTCGTGCTGGTCCCAGAATATTTGAGAGACAGGGTGGGTGAGGTAATATCTTTTACTGGACGAACTTCCGTTGGTGAAAGAGACACTTTCAAGCTACACAGAGCTTCTCTCTTTCACTCACAGAAGTTGGTCCAGTAAAAGATATTACCTCACCCACCTTGTCTTTCTGCATTATTAGTGGCAGTGTACCATATAATTGGATCTTCAAATCAGATCAGAACAGCCCCGTGAGGACAAGATATCCAAGGTCTCAACTCTCTGTTAGGCCTGGTCTACACTACGACTTTAATTCGGATTTAGCTGCGTTAATCCGAATTAACCCTTCACCCGTCCACACTACAGAGCCAGTTAATTCGAATTAAAGGGCACTTAAAATCGATTTCTGTACTCCACCTCGACGAACGGAGTAGCGCCTAAATCGATTTTGTTAATTCGAATTAGGGTTAGTGTGGCCGCACACCACCGAATTACTGTGGTTAAATTAATGGGGTAGTGTGGCCGCACACAACCGAATTAATGTGGTTAAAAACCGAATTAATGTGCTTAGTGTGGCCACGCACAATCGAATTTATACAATCTGTTTCCCAAATTCGAATTATCTAAATTCGGATTAATCCTGTAGTGTAGACATACCCTTAATGTCTCTTCCATTACTGAGTCAATAACTTCTCTACGTGCTCTAACCTTCCCTAGTCTGGGCCCAACTACACAATGGGGTATTCTATGGAACTTAATGACCCACAATCTCTTAAACATCTGAGATATTTTCTTTTCAATAGTAGGCAATTTTAACGGTGGGAGATTAATCTTTACTCTATCTGTTTGAAGCTGGCACTAGTGCCACTGTGGCCAATACGTAGGTCAGAGAGATGCAAATACTTCTCTGAAGTCTCAGTTTTCAACTCTGGCTCCCCTCTAGCTTTGCATGGGGCTTGTCTACTGAAGTGGCACAAACCCAAGCTGTGCAGTTCAGAGAAAACAGGACATCAGCTTTGTTAGATCCTCTTGCAAATAAGAGAGTGCTAGGAGCTAGAGCTGGTTGGAAAACAGGAGTTTTTTCCACTGAGAATTTTAAAAAAAGTTTTTGTTGACAATCATTTTTATCAAAATTAATATTTCAGCTTTTCATTTAAAAAAATAATGAAAACTTTAGTTCAAAATCTGAATGTTTTTTGGTCTGGAGTTTTTGAAAACTCAAAATTTTCCATGGAAACCAGACACTTCTCACACACACTTTTTTTTGTTTTTGTTTAATCAACAATCCAATTTTCCATCAAAATGTTTGACGGGCCCTAGCACTATCCCCATTTACTAGAAACAGAGCCAATTCCTCTCCTAGGCCTTGGCTACACTTGCAAGTTACAGCGCTGTAAAGGCTCCCCCAGCGCTGTAACTCACTCCCCGTCCACACTGGCAGGGCACTTGCAGCACTGTATCTCCCTGGGTACACCGCTGCAGGTACTCCACATCTCCGAGAGGAATAACAGCTGCAGTGGAGTGGCTACGACTCACGGGTGTGAGTGTAAACGCTTGCAGCGCTGTACTAATCACCTTGTCAAGTGACCAATCCTCTCCATTGTTGTGAATGGCTGCAGGAATGCGGAAGTGCCGGTTTCAAAGCTCGTACCACAGAAAAAAGCAAACAGTTTGCAGCTTGCTTTGAGTGAGTAAATGAATGAGCAGGGGGCCGGGAGTTCGGAACTTGCAAAATAGAGAGCTGACATGCTCCAAAAAGCACTCTCTCTCCTCCCACACTCCCTGTCACAATCCACCCCACCCCCCCGTTTTGAAAAGCACGTTGCAGCCACATGAATGCTGGGATAGCTGCCCATAATGCACCGCTCCCAACACAGCTGCAAATGTTGCAAGTGTGGCCACGCCACTGCGCTGGCAGCTGTCAGCGTGGACAGACTGCAGCGCTTTTCCCCACTCAGCTGTACGAAGACAGGTTTACCTCACAGCGCTGTACAGCTGCAAGTGTAGCCAAGGCCCTAGTAGCCATTGTCTTAGGATCCCAATCCTACATAAAACGAATGAGCTCTCATTAGAGATTAATGCCACAATCTCCACTGAGATCTTGGCCCTGCAAATCCTTGCATGGTGCACAGCGGGGTTGTACTCTGGTATAGATGTGAATGGAGGAGATGTGTGGAAACATAAAACTAGAGAGTGCTACTCATAGTCCTCCAACTGCTTAAGAGGTCTGGCCCTGGCATGCCTGCCCCTTTACTTACAAGTGCCCAAGGTAAAAATCTGAGGAAGAAGGGAAAAACCCCTCAAACCATTGAAACAGTCTCAGGTTTCTATGACTAAAAACTGCTCCTTGTGTTGACTTTGGCCTCGACTCCTGTTGGTCTTTGCAGTTAAAAAGAATACTCCATCTACTTTGTGTTTACCTGCCCTTCTCCTCAACATTTCTGTGTAATTTGCAGGGCTTTGCAAAGTGACAGCAGGTAAAGCAAACAAGTATCCCCACTCCAGGCAGTTTCCTGCTCTGTTCCCCTCTGATCCTAAATAGAAAGTGTTTGCAGCAACAGTTCCTGTTTATTGTGGGGAATCAGACAAGCTCCTGACTGAGAGGGAATTTGCCTGATTCCGTTACACACCAGAACAAGTTCTCACATAATGCAAGTGACTTCTTCATATGCAAACTTTATGTCATTGCCGAATTCTTCAGGACAAGATGGCTTTACAGTCTCCAGCATGCCCACCCTTGAGGATTTAATTGCCTGAATATTATTTCCTGACATTGTGCATGTCTCCACATTTTCGCAGGGGCTTTTTCCTCTGTTGAAATGATAGGCTCATTTCGGAAGCAGATTGTAGCTTTTCTCTGCTTTGTAGGAGAACAAAGTGTGAAATACAGCACGTTTTGGAAACTGGGCAGTAACATGGTATAAATGCTGTCTACCGTGATTCTGATACTTCTGGGACCAAGATCCATTTTAGCCCCTCAGGCCCATTGAGGCAGAATCCATTCATGAAACACATTTAGCTTTCGTGTGACTTCATTTCAAACTCCATGAAGGTGGAGGTTCACAGAGCCCAGGCTCCACCCTGAGCCCAAATGTCTGCACCAAAATTTTACAGCCCTATGAGCCCAAGTCACCCAACACAGGCCTGCCACAAGTGTTTAGTTGCAGTGTAGACATACCCTTACAGGCTGAAGGCTGCTGGTCATTCCCAGAACAGGTAGATCATGGGTAAGCATTCTTTGGGTATCTCTTGGAGATAAAAATGAAAACTATTTAGAGCACTGGAGTGTTACTGACATCACTGTAAGCAATGTGAAGGTGGAAAGGAATGCAAGAGTCTTTTCCCTTTGTAGATCCCTTTTAAGTTCTTGGCTGGAAGCGGTGTGCACTGCCACAAACTTAACTGTCACTAGTTATGGTTTGTGAATATTTTTCTAAGCTTACCTTTAGTTTTAATCCCATAGGTTCCCAAAAATCATGCTGGGTGTGTCTCCATCTCTACTGTGATGCGGCAGAATTCACTGTTCTATGATGTCAGAGCCACCATTAGGCCCCACTGTAGAAAGGAGGCAGTCCATAAGGGTCAGGTAAGAAGCCCTTTTCTTTTTTTACTATATACACTGGTTCTGAATCTTTTAAATGATTGTTTAATGCCCTTTGGTTGAGTGATGAAGTTCACAAGTTCTGGTCTGACTAGCCTTATTACAGACTTTCCCAGTAGCAATAAAAAAATAAATAAAAAAAACCCTATAAAGAACTTAAGTACCATGATCCTTATGCAGGCAAAACTCCCACTGAAGGGGAGGGAAGGGACTGAGGAGGGAAGATTGCAATGTGAGTTTTGCCTCCATGAAGAAACACAGAATTAGGCCCAGAGCAGATCATTGCTCAAATAAACCACAAAGATATTTTTTGCTTGTGGGTTTCTTTATAATATGATGATATGATAAGTCAGTCATTTCTGTGGAAATTACTCTAGTCCATTATTCAGGACACAAATCAGCACTGAGCAGTAAGAAAACATGACACATAATGCTGCGGACAAACTTTCTAACAGAAACAGAAGCAGCCAGTTTGAACGTAACCCAGGTCAGTAGTGACTGAAAGCTCTGACTCTTAACATATGTCTACACAGCTTAGAGCAGCGAGTCTCCCAGCCTAGGTTGACAGACTTGGGCTAGCGGGACTTGTGCTAGTACTGTAAAAATAGCTCTGTAGACAGCACTTTGAAGTTGTGGATCAAGTTCAAGCTTGGGCCCTGAAGCCTAGGGTGGGGGCTGGGCTTCAGAGGCCGAGCTCCAGCCCAAGCCGCAACTTCAAAGCTCTGTCCGTGTAGCTATTTTTAGAGTGCGAGCACAAGCCCAAGTCTGTTAGCCCAAGCTGAGGCTGTGTAGACATATGTTAAGAGTCAGAGCTTTCAGTCATTACTGACCTGGGTTACGTTCAAACTGGCTGCTTCTGTTTCTGTTAGAAAGTTTGTCCGCAGCATTATGTGTCATGTTTTCTTACTGCTCAGTGCTGATTTGTGTCCTGAATAATGGACTAGAGTAATTTCCACAGAAATGACTGACTACACATAGCCATAGGCACCCTGTGTGACTGAGTTGGTGGTTTTAATCCAGTCTGCGGTGGACAAGTGTCCAAATTACAAAACTGACCCTAGTTTGTCCCCTTGTTGGCCATCTCAGCAGAGGATTAAAAGAGCCATGGAGTCTAAACTCCCCTCTTATCCTCTGAATTGATCCCTCTGTGATAAGGCACATTGTGTCAGAGAGAGAGAGAGAAAGAGAGGCTTGCACTGCTTGCCCATGGTCTACCTAGTTTCTGGATGACCAGAAGCCTTCATTCTCCAATGCTATCAGTCCAGCAGCTTTCACCAGCAATAAACCACTTAGAAAATCTATTTCTGAAGTGTTTAAGAATTATATGCAAATTCAAGGTCAACTGCTTGAAACGAGTTCTGATGTGATGGGGTGGTTAGGAGGAGAGCATTAATAAGAAAATCTGTGGGTGTCAGATTGTTTCTGGGATGCTGGTAAGGTTTGAGAGGGAACCACAAATTGTTTTGTAAATTCTGTGGGGGCAAAAGGAGGAAATGACTATTTTAGAAGCCAAACACATCACTAGCGGGGAGGAGAGAAATTAAATACCCACACTGTAGAGACTTTTAGTGGCAAGAGGCAGAAATGGGAAGGGCTGCAAGAAGAAAAGACAACAAATAGTCCAAGAAGAACTGAAGCTGCAATTAGTGCCCTAGAATATTTTTGGTGCCCCATTCATATCAAGAAGGCAAGCTCCCAACCATAGGTCATTTCCCTTCTCCTTCACTAGAGCAAGGAACTTGCTTTCTAAATGGCTAACCTCTACCTACATCCCATGCTCCCAGCATGTAGTCTGGGGCACAGAATCTTCTGGCCCTTCCTCTTCCAGCTCTGGAGAGTAGCTCCAGGAATTCATAAGTCATCTGTGTTCAGCTGGTCCTTATTCCACTGTTGGCAGGGATCCTCTAGCTGGCTGACTTTCTCCTGCAATGGAACTCTTCTCAATCATGCCTCCACCACCCCAGATTGAGGTACATTAGGCATAGGCTGGATGGAGGCTACCCAAAGTCACTTTTGAAGGTGGCTTTTGTTAAAGAGAGCCTTCTGGAATGTCATAGTCATAGAGTTTAAGGCCAGGAGGGACCACCAGATCATCTAGTTCAGTGGTTCTCAACCGGGGGTACGCAAAGGTCTTCCAGGGTGTACTTCAACTCATCTATCGGGGGTAGCCGTCTTAGTCTGTATCCACAAAAACAAGGAGTCCGGTGGCACCTTAAAGACTAACAGATTTATTTGGACATAAGCTTTCATGGGTAAAAACACTTCTTCAGATGCACTTCTTCAGATGCATCTGAAGAAGTGGTTTTTACCCACAAAAGCTTATGCACAAATAAATCTGTTAGACTTTAAGGTGCCACTCGACTCCTTGTTCAACCCATCTAGATATTTGCCTAGTTTTACATCAGGCTATATAAAAAGCAGTAGCAAAGTCAGTACAAACTAAAATTTCACACAGACAATGACTTGTTTACACTCAGGCCCGCTGACAGTGGGAGGTCAAAGGGGGCAATTGTACAGGGGCCTGGGCGATTTAAAAGGGCCTGAGGGCCCCCGACCACCGCTGCGGCGGTGGCCAGGAGCCCCAGGCCCTTTTAAATTGCCCGGGCGGGCTGCAGGGCTCCTAGGCGCGTGTGACCGCTTCGGGCCCCGCACTTTGGGGTGCCCTGGGGGCCGGTACAAGCAGCCAGTGACGGATTCTTCACTTCTGCCCCGGGCTCCGCCCCCCCCCCCCCCCAGGGATGGCCCTGGGGCCCAGAATTGCTGTCGGCAGGCCTGTTTACACTGCTCTATATACTGTACACTGAAATGTAAGTACGATATTTATATTCCAGTTGATTTATTTTATAATTATAAAATAAAATTGAGAAAGTAAGCAATTTTTCAGTATTAGTGTGCTGTGACACTTTTGGATTTTTATGCCTGATTTTGTAAGCAAGTAGTTTTTAAGTGAAGTGAAAGCGGTACAGTAGTCTGGAAAGTTGAGAGCCACTGATCTAGTCAGATGTCCTATATATCATAAGCCACTAACTCCACCCAGCCACCCCCACCCTAAACCCAACAACTGGAATTAGATCAAACTAGTTAATTTGGAACGGGGGGCTCAGCAGGGCTGATGGGCAACGCACTCTTTCTAAAAGTGTGGGGGGGGGTCGTGAGACCCTGCCTCCTCTATGGCCTTGCCCCTCCTCTTCCCCCTGAGACCCCGCCCCCAGACTAAGTCGGAAGCCAGAGCCAGGTTGGGGAGCCTGGGCCCCTCCACCTGCCTGGAGGGGGGACCTGAGAGAAGCCCCCAACCTGTGTCCCCTCCCTCTGGTCCCCCTGCACCAGGCAGGTGAAGGGTTGGCGGCTCCCCACAGCTGCCCGTGTGGCTCTTACCCCGACTTGGCTCCGGCTTCTGGCTTGGCCTGGGGGACGAAGAGCCACAGCCGGGCCATCGTAAGAGCTGCCCAGGCAGCTGTAGGGAGCCAGGGACCCTCCAACTGCCCTGGGCAGGGGACCCAGGAGGCAGGGACACAGATCGGGTGCTGCTCTCAGGCCCCCCCAAGGGTCTGCAGCTCCCCATAGCTGCCTGGGCTCCCTGGGCCGCTCTTACCCAGGCCAGGCTCCAGCTTCCAGGGCTCGGGGGAAGAGGAGGGGCAGGAGGCCAGGCCCATGGCAAAAAGTGGACAGGCCAGGCCCATCCACTTTCAAGAGAGACAGAGAGAAACCACTTAAAGGAAGCTTTGCTGGGCTTGGTAAGTCTGAAAAGAATGGGAACTGCATTGCCTTTGTCTCATAGACTCAGAGCTTAATTTGTTCAGGACGTTTGCCAGGGCTCAGCATCGGCATCTCTTTTCATGCTGGGGCTGTGCCCTGGCACCTTTTCTGTCAGCGGCATGCAAGACGTTCAGTGTATGCAAGACCGGGCTGTGCAGAGGATGCCATCTTTATTGCTTGATCCCTGGCACCTCTTATTCTACACTTTAAGGACTGAAGACTTTCCTGCTGAGCATCACTTGTATTTACTTCATTGTTCTTACATTTACCTACCAATGGTGAAGGGAACAGCAGTGAAACTAAGTTTAAATGCACAGAAGTCCCTTTCTCTTAACTGCATGGCAGAGCCTGCAAGTGAAGGCTTTGATTGGGCTTTTACTACTGAGTCTGTTGTAAAATATGTGAAGAGTGACTTGTATCTGAGATCAGTTTAGCACAGCTTCTACAGGCTTGGCAAGATGGAGTCTTCCTTTTCGTTCACCTGGCAGAACTTTAATTATAATAGTTAATGGAGATATCCCATCTCTTAGAACTGGAAGGGACCTTGAAAGGTTGTCAAGTCCAGCCCCTGCCTTCACTAGCAGGACCAAGTACTGATTTTTGCCCCAGATCCCCAAGTGGCCCCTCAAGGATTGAACTCACAACCCTGGGTTTAGCAGGCCAATGCTCAAACCACTGAGCTATCTCTCCCTCCTTTGTATGGCATGTAGTCTATAGAAGTCTCTGCTGCAGTTAATGTGCAGGACACCCTCAAAGGGTCTAGCTGTAGGAGTCAAAACTCCCTTAATTAGTTATATTCCCTCCCCCAACTACAGTGTCAGATCACCAGCTGTCAATCCCATTTACTTCCAGTAGATCAAACCAAGAATATAGTGCAGAGAACAATCCTACATTGGCAGGGGACAGACAACACAAGGGTCTTTCTTCATTTCTAATTTATAGGATTCAGCCAAAAGACAATTTGAGACTGAACAAGAAAATCCACCTGAACTGAGTAACAAAATCTGTAAATGTGAGTGCATGGTTTTGTTTTGTAGTATTTTATTGATACGTCTAAAGAATTACATGGTACATCAGTTCTGAGCTGCTGAAAATGTCTAGCACCACTAGGTTTTCTGTTATTTTTGGCCTTAAAAAAGGCACCTACAACTCTGCTTCCTGCTGGGAATGGATAATGCAGATGAGATTTTCCTATACCCGTTAATCTGTTTTATTGATTCCATATTGGAAACCCAATGTACAGATGTGGAACACATGAGGCTGCTGTCTCTGAGAGAAAAGCATGTGAGTGGGATGGAAGGAACAAATAAAAAAAACAAAGACATTGCCAGGACCAAATCAATAATGACAAATATAAATGTAAGGCCCAGGACTGGAATAGCAGAGAGGGCCTCCAACCAGGAATGTCCTACAGGGAGGAAGAGCTCTGTCAGATGGGATGTGCTGTAGGTTAAATGATCCAGATCCTGTGACTTGCCAGAGTAAGAACAGAATGAACTGTATTAGCACATGTGCAAGTGAGCAAGGCTGGAAGCAGAGATGCCATCTGTGATGGGGGCAGAGCTGTCACATTGCTGTAATCTAACAGCAGCTGCCTTTGAAGCAAGACTGAATAATGTAGGTTATGAACAGTGGGGTATGGTCACTGCTAAAAAGGAGAGATTATCTGAGGGTTAGCGGTATAAATAGTAGTGCTGGGACAGTCCCAAATAAAATGACAGGTTGCTTTGCAAAATCTTCTCTGTAATGTGCCGCCGAGGACAGAGATGGACAGAAAGTCTTTTCCCAGCCCTGGAGCAGCTCAAGCCTTCGCTGGGGGAAGCATTTTAACCAACTTGAGTGCATCTATAAAACTTTACATATTAAATAAACGAGCTCTTCCTTGTCTGCCTCTCAGCCTGGCTGCTTGGTTTAAAGAAATGTGCTGAGTCACAGAGTGGGTCCTCACCCTGGTTTGGACAGGACCTACTCTTGACTATCCTTTAGTGCAGGGGTGGCCAACCTGTGGCTCCAGAGCCACATGCGGCTCTTCAGAAGTTAATATGCAGCTCCTTGTATAGGCACCGACTCCGGGGCTGGAGCTACAGGTGCCAACTTTCCAATGTGCCAGGGGGTGCTCACTGCTCAACCCCTGGCTCTGCCACAGGCCCTGCCCCCAATCCACCCTCCCATGAGCCTGCCGTGCCCTTGCTCCTTCCCCACCCAGAACCTCTTGCATGCCACAAAACAGCTGATCAGGAAGTGCGGGGAGGGAAAGGGAGGCGCTGATTGGCAGGGCTGCTGGTGAGTGGGAGACGCTGGGAGCAGGTTGGGGGGAGCTGCTGGGGGGGTTGCTGATGTATTACTGTGGCTCTTTAGCAATGTACATTGGTAAATTCTGGCTCCTTCTCAGGCTCAGGTTGGCCACCCCTGGATTAGTGAGTGGTTCGGATTCCCCTCCTTGCACTAGCCTGGACACCTTCTCCTCGAAGGGATTCAGTCTGAGGGAAGGCAAGAGGTGCTTCTCACTTTGAGCTCTCGCTGAGTAGGGCAGCTTTGTTTTCTACCTGGGATTTCCTAAGGGTCTTGCCTACAGATGTGATGAAATAGCAAAAGTATTGCTATGTTCCTTCCTGGGCAGGGCTGCATTTTACAGATGTAACCATCATACCCCTCCATGGGTTGTTAGCAGTAGGGTTCAAACCGTGGTCAGGTGGATTTGAACACACTAGCCTCTACAGCAGAGGTGGGCAAACTGTGGCCAGCAGGACCCTCTTGCCCTGCCCTTGAGCTCCCAGCCGGGAAGGCTAGCCCCCGGCCCCTCCCCTGCTGTTGCCCCTCCCACCTCCCTCGCAGCCTCAGCTCGCTGTGCCACCAGCGCTCTGGGCGGCGCGGCTGCCAGCCTGCCCCAGTGCTCTAGACTGCACGGTGGCGTGGCTGGTTCCGGTTGGGCTGCCAGTCCTGGTGCTCTGAGTGGCATGGTAAGGGGGCAGGGGGTTGGGGGGTTGGATAGGTGTGGGAGTCCCGGGGGGCCTGTCGGGGGCAGGGGTGTGGATAGGGGTCAGGGCAGTCAGGGGACAGGGAGCAGGGAGGGTTGGCTAGGGGGTGGGGTCCCCAAAGGGGGCAGTCAGGGGACAAGGAGCAGTGGGGGTTGGATGGGTCAGGGGTTGTGAGGGGGGCAACCAGGGGGCGGGAAGTGGAAGGGGGCAGATAGGGGGCGGGGGCCAGGCTGTTTGGTGAGGCACAGCCTTCCCTACCTGGCCCTCCATACAGTTTCGGAACCCCAATGTGGCCTTCAGGCCAAAAAGTTTGCCCACCCGGCCACCCCTGCTCTACACTCTGACTAAAACCCTGTTTGCCCAGGCTCATCAACCTCTCTATGTGGCTCAGCCACAGAGTGTGGTTTGCACAGGCAGCATTATCTGGTCAACAGCTTTCCATCAGTCTCCTCTTTCATTGGTTGCAGCTGGGCCTTGCCTCTCTGATTACGACCATCAGGAAGTAGTTGTTGATTTTGAAAACTCAGACTTTTTCTGCCTCTTTCTGAAAGGGAGGAAGCCCCTGTTACTTCTTTCTTAGACAAGCCAGCTTTCCTGATGGAGGGACACACACAGAGAAAGGGTTGTTTATGACATGGCAGCATGGGGAGAAATGTAGAAACTGAAATACTGCAGCAATTTGAAGAAGCGAGAGCAAAGGAAGAACAGGTAAGTCTCAGCCACCCCCCATATCACGTTGATAAGAAGAAAGGTTTCCAGAGTTGAAGAGGCTACTGTGGAAAGGGCACATCCCCCAGAGTCTGAGAATAGAATGAAGCTCCCTTTCAGGAGCGCCTCTGTCATGGGTTACTATTAGGGTGACCAGATGTCCTGATTTTATAGGGACAGTCCTGATATTTGAGGCTTTTTTGTATATAAAAGCCTATTACCCCCACCTCCCACCCCATCCCAATTTTTCACACTTGCTATCTGGTCACCCTAGTTACTACAGCCATGTCAGAGGGGAGAAGACAGGAATCTCCTCTGCTTCTTGCTCTAATACACCCCTGAGAGTCCTTCTCCCCCTATCAAGACCCCACAGGCATTGAAGTCAAAAAATCTTTCCTTGCAAGAGTCAGTCATGCTGTATCAGAAGCGTTTCTCCTAATGTTGTGCAACTCAGAGAGAAGGGATCCTGGGCCAGAATTGCCCCTAGATTGACTCTTGATTTTGCAAAACTAGGTCTCCTCAGCCCATTTCTAATTTGCATTTAAAATGAGGGGCCAGATCCTCAGGACCAGCCTTTTGGTGCTCAATAAAGTTTGGGAGTGGGGAAGATTGCACAAAGGTGGTTTTAACTCTAGCGAGTCTCCAGGTATAACACAGAGCCATTCCAGCCCTCAAGGAGCACTCCAGCCATACCCATTTTCCTCCTGGACATGATCCTGCATGGGTTGGGGCAGTGGCGCAGAGCTATGCGATCTGGGGATTACCCTGAGCAGGGAGGTGCCCTCTTGGAGGCAAATATGCATGCTTTAGGGCTGCTTGGCACTGCCATAGAGGGACTGAGACTCTGGCCCAGAAATGTTTTGGCTTCATCTTCTCCAGCATGAGAGCACAGTCACTGTGCAACTATCCCTTGTTTTGGAAAGTGAGTGCAAGTTTGTGGTGGCAGACACTAAGCTCCTGTTTGTGGTGAAGCAGCTTTTAATAACTGTTCTGGAGTCAATGCCAAATTGCACGTTATGTGGCTATTGGGTGGTTACAATCTGACTCTTGCCATGTTACTTACAGTAAATAGTATCAGGTGCCATGTTCTTATGATGCTCTATATCAATTACTGTTACTGAGGCTGCACATTAACTGTTTCCATGCTCAGGTCCCACTTGGGCACAGCACTTAGACACGTGAATTGGCCTGGGTGTGATCTAGGATCTGAGCCAGTGAGGTTCTGAGTGCCCTCAACTCGAAGCCCTTACTGAGTGCACTTATCTGGAGAGACCCAGCCTGCCCTTGACATTCCAGGCAGTTGAATGGCCAGTCCACAGAGCTGTTTGTAAAACTGCTGTCAAAACCCATGCCCACACCAGTGGCAACAAAGGAGCAAAATACCAATCCAAGGGATCAATCTTGCGGGTTGCTGAGCCCCTCCCTGAGAGATGCTGAGTGCCTTCAACTCCCTTTGAAACTAATAGGAGCTAAAAATGCTCAGCACCTCTCAGCATCAAGCCCCAAGAGTTTAAATTTATCCAAGAACAAACAATGACTATCAAGCCCATGTTTACTTTTGCTGCCTTTGTTGAGAACATTGAGTGGGAGTGATTCTGTTTGTCGGTGCATAGGCTTAGTCTGTTTGTATCTGTGCTACAGTGTAACACCAAAAGCATCCACTGTCAGCTTGTAGTTGATCCAGATTGCTTTAAACAGCAACTATTTTCTGTGTTTCAGGGGACTCATTGCAAAACCTTCCTAGGATGTGCAGGGACTGGCAATCTTCCAAACAAAGAGGATTGATGGGTGGCATTGATACAGAGTAATCCCAGAGTAAGTCTTGATCACTATGTGCACAGCTTTCTTTTAGATGGGATCTTAAGGAACATGTGGTGGTTTATGGGTTTGGGATGTGTAAGATTATACCCCTGGACCTGCAGAGATAGATTGTAAAACTGACCACTTGGCTATCAGAGAGTATTTTGATTTACTGGTAACACATTATATTTTAAAGACACATATAATTCCTTGTAAAATGCAACTGCAGAATTCTAAAGTCCTGTCTCAAAACATAGCAGCTTACAGTAGTGACAGTGCAGTGTGATAACTGCAGAGTACTGTAGTATTTCCTTTTATAAGGGATGTTTTATGCCTAAATTTAATCTCTTACCCGCCACCTCATTTCCTCAAGTGTTTGCAGAACATCATCTCCTAGTCAGTAAGAGACCAGAAGAGACAGAGTTTCAAGATCCTTACAGCCCTTCAGTTATTCTGCGAGCAAATTGCCATCATTCCTTTTCATGTCTCTTCTTTCTGAGTCACACACTTCTCTAATCATCAGCTCTTGATCTAACAATGCCATGTCCATGCCTTGAATACTTATACAGTTTGATGTGCTTGTTACCATTGGAAGTTTTGCTATAAATCAACACCTGAAAATATTGAAATTTGAAATTTTGTTTTATATCCTACTACAATCCGAGCTGCCTTCATGGGCTAGTAAATTTTACTAAGGTTTCATGGAGTCCATCAGGCTAAAGTGTTTACTAGTGCCTGTATGTCTATTAAAGCAAAAAACTATATTGGTTACACACACATGATGTGATGGCAATTTTTTTTTCTTAGAGCCATTGCATGTCATTTGGATCCTTATCTGAAAGCATCTAGGGATCTAATATTTGTTAAGAATGCAGACACTATAGTATCAATGACAGGCCAGTTCAGCTCTGAAGCTGCAGTTATTAAAACAGTGAGAGGAAGTTCAAATTAATTAGCACAATATCCTTATGAATGTCCTCTTGATTTAATAATTAAGCTGCGGTTCACAAGAAGGAAATGGAGAATGCACTGAATCTGATTTTATAAAAGATGTACTTTGGCTCTGCAGTGGCAGTTCTTCCAACCACAGTGAATTCCCAGAGGAGATACACGTTTTAAAATAATAATAAAAACAACCAAGAGGAAGGATCCTGCATTTTGATTTTTTTTGACCAGCCTCCAGAAGTTACCAGTAAATTTAAACCAGATGATGTTGGTAAAACCAATCAGCCAGTTGGCACCGTACATAGTAATTTGCACTGAACATTGTATAAATGAGCTTGGACAAATTTGTAGCCTCTCCTGGAAATGTGTAGAAAAATATACCGCAGAGCACCCAATGTGGAATCCTGTGAGCGTCCAGAGAAATATGCTTCCTTGTCTTCTTTCCTTTTCCCACAGGACTGTTGCATTGTTAGATGGAAAGAGCCCACGCATCCCACCAAGGCTTAGTTTTGCACTATGGCTCAGTAAACCTGCCCCGGGGGGGGAGAGAAATAAGCTAGAACTTCCAGTTGTTTTTCCCTCCTCCCTCCCCCACATCCTTTTTTCATGTTTGAATCAGCTTGGGACATTGAACAGCTCCTCTCCCACAAAATGAAAACAACTTTGATTTATCCACCTGTCTACTAGTGTATGGGGAAGGCTAGTTAGATGAAATCCTATGAGTAGGATTTGCATTTCATTAATGCTTTCCTTCTAGGGATCTCAAAGCACTTTACCAGCAATGCGGAGTTAAGCCTCTTTATTGAGAAACAGAGGCACAGAGTGGGGGAATTACGTGCATACGCACAATAGAATCATAGAAATGTAGGACTAGATGTGATCTTAATAGGTCATCTAGTCCAGTCCCCTGCACTGAGGCAGGACTAAATGTTATTTAGACCATCCCTGACAGGTGTTTGTCTAACCTGTTCTTAAAAGCCTCCAAAGACAGAGATTCCATAACCTCCCTAGGTAATTTGTTCCCATGTTTAGCTATCCTGCCAGGAAGCTTTTCCTGATGTCTAACCTAAACCACTCATGCTGCAATTTTAGCCCATTACTTCTTGTCCTGTCCTCCATGGATAAGAAGAACAGTTTATCCTCCTCTTTATAACAACCTTTTACATACTTGAAGACTCTTATCATGTCCCCACTCGGTCTTCTCTACTCCAGACTAAACAAACTCATGTTTTTCAATCTTTCCTCGTAGGTCATGTTTTCTAGACCTTTAATCATTTTTGTTGCTTGCCTCTGGAGTTTCTCCAATTTGTCCATATCCTGCCCTAAGTGTGGTGTCCAGAACTGGACACAATACTCCAGATGAGGCTTTATCAATCCTGAGTAGAGTAAAACAGGGGTTCTCAAACTGGGGGGTCGGGACCCCTCAGGGGGTCACAAGATTCTTACATTGGGGGGTCGCAAGCTGTCATCCTCCACCCCAAACCCCCCTTTGCCTCCAGCATTTATAATGGTGTGAAATATATAAATAGTGTTTTTAATTTATAAGGCGGGGTCGCACTCAGAGGCTTTCTATGTGAAAGGGGTCACCAGTACAAAAGTTTGAGAACCACTGGAGTAAAAGAATTACTTCTTGTGTCTTGCTTACAACATTCCTGCGAATACGTCCGAGAATGATGTTTGCTTTTTTTGCCACAGCGTTATATTTTTGACTTGTATTTAGTTTGTGATCCACATTAAGCTCCTGACACCAGATCCTTTTCTAGGCAGTCATTTCCCATTTTGTATTTATTCAATGGATTATTCCTTCCTAAGTGTACTTTTTTTCATTTGTCCATTTTGAATTTCATCCTACTTATTTCAGACCATTTCTCCAGTTTGTCAAGATCATTTTGAATTCTAATCCTGGCCTCCAAAGCACTTGCAACCCCTTCCAGCTTGGTATCATCTGCAAACTTTATAAGTGTCCTTTCTATGCCATTATCCAAATGATTTATGAAGATATTGAATAGAACTGGACCCAGGACAGATCCTTGCAGGACCACATTTGATATTGTCATGGAAAAAGTCACCCACGCATTGATTTTAGTTCACAGACTCAAGCCTGAGGCCAGTTTATTGTAATACATACCAACGCGTTGGGGTAGCAGTCCGAAAACTACCACCCCTAGCACAGCACGCAGGCTGCTTTTATTCCGTCAAACCGCAAGCATAGTACAAATAATACGTCATTTATGCGAAAATAAGAGTTGGGGTCTGTCCCTTTTTTCCCGGCAGCTTCCTCATTATTTACGAGAATTGGGTGCCTATTGGGTGGGGGGGTTTCTTGGTGGTTTCCGACATGGGTGGTACTTGGCACCAGTTGGAGTGTTGTTCTCGCCAAGGTACATATTGTTTTTTCCGGGGTTTTACGGTTAAGGACATAGGGGTTTATTACGGGACGCCCAAAGATGATATATGATTGGCTAGTTTGGCAGTTAGCTGGAACTTACGGGGCAAGTTGACCTTTACTAGAAGCAATTTCTTCATATAGGCGGTTATTATGTTTCATAAACAAGCGGTTATCATGTTGCTAAAGCCTTTTGCATTGCTCCCTCCCCCTCCCTCCTCTGGTCATAGCCCATGACCGTATTTGGCAGGGGCCTGTACAGCTTAGTTTTGTTCATGCCCTGGCCTGTACTGTTCTCTGTAAAGGCCGTCTGTATAGTCAGCTTCTGTCAGAGGGCCTGAATTTGGGCCTTCGGTGTTACTTTGGCTGCCATAAAGGCCACCCAGTTCTTTTTCCCCACAATATGGTCTTCCAGATAGAGTAGTTATCAATGATTCTCAGTCAGAGTACAGTTTTCCAGTTATGCACCCACCTTATACTAGGTTCATCTAAACTATGTTTTCCTAGTTTGTTTATGAGCAGGTCATGTGAGATAGTATTAAAAGCCTTACCAAAATCAAGATATCACATCTACTACTTTCCCTCTATCCACAAGGATTGTTAGTCTGTCAAAGAAGGATATTGGGTTGGTTTGACGTGATTTGTTCTTGACAAATCCATGTTGACTGTTACTTATCACTTTATTTTCTTCTTCATGTCTACAAATTGATTTTGTTTATTTGATTCACTATCTTTCCAGGTACGGAAGTTAAGCTGACTGATCTATAATTCCCTGGGTTTTCCATATTCCCCTTTTTTATAGATAAGTACTATATTTGCCCTTTTCCTGTCCTCTGGGATCTCTCCCATCCTCCACTAGTTCTCAAAGATAATCACTAATGGCTCAGAGATCTCTTCAGCCAGTTCCTTAAGTATTCTAGGATGTACTTCATTAGGCCCTGCTGACTTAAAGACATCTTACTTGTTCTATTCCTATTTTAGCCTCAGGGTATGTCTTCACTAGCAATGTTAAAGTGCTAAAGTTGCAGCGTTGTAAAGTGGCAATGTAGACAAGGCCTTAGATGGTACCCCATTGATGTCCACTATCTTAGTTGTCCGATCACTGCTAACCTTTTTGGTGAAAACTGAAGCAAAAAAGGCATTCAACACTTCTGTCACTGCTGCATTTTCTGTTTTTTTTGTCTTTCCCGCCTCATTGAGTAAAGGGTCTACCCTGTCCTTGGTTTTCCTCTTGCTTCTAATGTATTTGTCGATTTATTTATTTTTAATCTTTTATGTCCCTAGCTAGTTCAATCTCATTTTGTGCCTTGGCTTTTCTAATTTTATCCCTACATTCTTATGTTGGTTTTTATATTCTTCGTTAGTAATCTGACCTCATTTCCACTTTTTGTGTCACTCTTTTTTGAGTTTCAGATCATTTGGAGATCTCTTGGTTAAGCCAGGGTGGCCTCTTACCATGATTCTGATTTTTCTGGATAGTTTACGCATGTTCCCTTAGTAATGTCACTTTTAAAAAACTGTCAACTTTTCTGAACACCCCCCCCCGCCCCCGCCCTCCTTAGGGTATGTCTACACTATGAAATTAGGTCAATTTTATAGAAGTCGATTTTTTAGAATTCGATTTTATACAGTTTATTGCATATGTCCACACTAAGTGCATTAAGTCGGCAGAGTGCGTCCTCAC